TGAAAAAAATGTGTGGAACACAATATTATAGTACGTCATCATTTCTGCAATTAAATAAGAAAAAAGAAAATAATTAACAATAATCTTTTCGAACATTAAAATGATTGCATTTACTATTCTCGGGGTTTACATATTTTCATGAACATAATTCATCGAATCATTAATTGTTCATCGGACATATCACAGTGACATGTAAAAAGGTTGTAAACCAAACACTTTTGACCAAACTTTATCGGTTTTTTTCCTTGAATATTCCAATACATATGTTTCATGAAAACCGAAATAGGACTGATGAATCATTTTCATGCAAATTTTCAAACATTGAAATGTTAATTGCCCGCAGTGGATTTCTTCATGCAAGCTATCAATTAATATTTCGTTTGGTAGTGCAATAGAATTCAAAGCATTGAAATATGTGGCAAGGAACTCAATTTCATGGTTCCTCGATTTTTCTAACACAAACCAAGGTTTGATGACGTCAGGCTAGATATCTATTTTGGTACAGTACTTACCTGAACGAAAATTTAAATTGGTGATAATTATACCACAGAAGGAGAAAAGGTGACAAGCTGTGTCACTATGACATCAATTAGACAAGAGCTAAATAATCATATGAGTATTGTGTACCATCCCATTAAAAAAATGATATATAAACATTATGACATTTATTGCATATTTGGGAAACTGTAGCTTATCATCTGGTATGACTAGTTTTTCGCCTCCAGTGGTAGACTTCAGGAACTCAAGACCAAAGCATCACTGAAGAGTTATTCATTATTTCGCTCCACTCCATCTAATTCTGAATTTGTATTGAATATTTTTATTTGGTTGTGTCTTTTGTTCAGTTCTCCAATAGCCTGATACACAAGGTTTTCGTTTATAAAGGCACGTAATTAGGTATTTTACGAAAAACAATATATACACATGTCTTTATCCGACATTAAAACACGTCTACAATAGAATTACTGACAGACAACGTGTCGTACAGAAGATTTTTGACTTAGAACAATGATCTGTGCCCGTATTCATGAAACTATTCTCCTACTCAAGCATGGATTTTGTACTCAAGTCTTACGTCTTGTTTAAGTTAAAAATTAATAAGTAAGGCTGATTTTGAAGAAGACTTAAAAACAATTTTGAAAGGACTTCAAGTCAAAACTATATTCAAGGTTTAAATTTGACATTTGTATTATTTTATATGATTTAGTTGAATTATAGAAAAGCTTGCCTGAGCACAAAATCTATGCTTGAGCATGAGAATGGTTTCATGAATACGGGCCCTGGTGTTTACCTACATTTTTCCAGAAAGACCTATGTCTTGGTATTAAATATAAATATGTTAGTAATATTTGATAATTTTGAAATCAAGACAAACATAACCCTGATTAAAGAATTAATTAAAACATACATGGACTAACAAATCAGAGGTTCATTTTTAATATCCATCACTGAATTGATAATCTACACTATTTATACAATGTTGGGGAGACTAAAGTATCTACTATAACACTGAAAAAATGACGTATTAAACGTGTAATCATAATTAAAACCCAAATTCCATCAACCAGGGCAAAATATGAACAAGCTATTAATTACGATAGATACTCCTGAAAACTTAGGTACAAGTCAAGATCAATCTATGTAATACTGCTCATTCATTATCTGTCTCTACTGCATTTAATTCTCCATTTGTATTGAAAGACGCCATTCACTTATGTGTCGTTTATACTGTCTTGAATACCATAATCTATATCGTAAATTTATTTCATGTCATCAGCCGAACAAAGTAATAAAACTTCAATATGTTTTTATATTGCGCATCAATGATATGGAGTTGATATTCTAAAGAAAAGAAACTGAATTTGATATACATTGATTTATCTACAGACATATAAGGAGTTAAACATTAATTAATTCATAGACATATAAGGAGTTATACATGAATTAATTTATAGATCTATAAGGAGTTAAACATTAATTAATTCATAGACATATAAGGAGTTATACATGACTTAATAAATATAGATTATAAGGAGTTATACATGAATTAATTCATATACTTATAAGGAGTTATACATGAATTAATTAATAAATATACTTATAAGGAGTTATACATGAATTAATTCATAGACATATAAGGAGTTATACATGAATTAAAATATACATATAAGGAGTTATACATGACTTAATTCATAGATCTATAAGGAGTTATAATGAATATTCTTATAAGGAGTTATACATGAATTAATTCATATACATATAAGGAGTTATACATGAATTAATTCATAGACATATAAGGAGTTATACATGAATTAATTCATAGACATATAAGGAGTTATACATGAATTAATAAATATACTTATAAGGAGTTATACATGAATTAATTCATATACATATAAGGAGTTATACATGAATTAATTCATATACATGAATTAATTCATAGACATATAAGGAGTTATACATGAATTAATTCATAGACATATAAGGAGTTATACATGAATTAATTCATAGACATATAAGGAGTTATACATGAATTAATTCATATTAACATAGACATATAAGGAGTTATACATGAATTAATTCATAGACATATAAGGAGTTATACATTAATTAATTCATAGACTATAAGGAGTTATACATGAATTAATTCATAGACATATAAGGAGTTATACATGAATTAATTCATAGACATATAAGGAGTTATACATTAATTAATTCATAGATCTATAAGGAGTTATACATGAATTAATTCATATACATATAAGAAGTTATACATTAATTAATTCATAGACTTATAAGAAGTTATAAATGATAGCTTTTTTCAATAAAACACGTATACCATTATACTATAACAGTATAGAATATATTATTTGTAATTTAAATTGTCAATATATGAATGTTATTTATATAAAAAGATAAAGAACGAGGAAAACAGCTGATACTTGTACTTGTTTGATTGATATCGTTATTTCACACAAACATTTCTTCCTTTGTTCCGTTTTCAATAGTGTCTTCGTGTTGTGAACAATCCTCGAATTTCCCAGACCTTCTTCCTCTAAGGATACTGTGATGTGTGTCAAGCGCATTTGTTTTCGATAGCCTATACTGTTTATAACTGACATATGATGATAACCAACACATATATATATATCATATGTTGGTGGCCGTTTACAAGAAGAAATTATGATATTGTTGATTTTATTTCGATCAATATTTACGTGAAAAAATAACATGTTCCGCTCAAACCATGCAGCAGTTTTACTCTGATGTCAACTGGGCATTGCACTGTCAATATCAGGCATAGGCAAATGAGGCAGAATCTCTGTCCGGATTAATTGCTGGGGGAGATTTTGGAATGGAAATACAGGAATTCACCATTAATTGCGAAAAATAAATAAAAAAAGATTCTTCCAAGCGAGGAATTATGTTTTCATTCAAGTACAATACCAATGTGTAGACATTCACGGCATCATCCTGGAAAGGCTCTCCATATTTTATCGTTCCTATTGTTAAGTTGGTTACAAGCCCCTAAATCGATTTCGCTTTTATCCCATGTGGATGTTTTTATTGATCCTGATACAATTATAAGTCTGGTCATCTTAACATTGCTGTTTCTGTGATTGTGTTAATTCAATCATTCAAGCTTTATTTCAAAAGTTCATAGTTTGGGTAAATCTTAGGAAGTGGTGTAGTAATTCCATTATTTTGGTGGTAAATGAAATATATTTATACATAATTCGCACGCACACTTGACATTGAAACAAAACGACGTAACTTGTTAAAATATTGCCCAAAATTATTGATGACGATAATCTAGCCTTACCAGGAGGGTGCGCTAATAAAGGGAGAGAATCTATTGGTCTTATTCATCCCAATATTCGATGTATTATTGTTTTCCTTAAATATTTAAAAGATTAATTATAAACATGTTCTCCAATTACAAACGGGTCTAATCGTTCTGGGGAATAATTCTTTTCCCGACACGCGTATATTCCTATTTTATTGTTAACATCACACCAATTTTGTTGCAATTAGTTTTCGAAGCCATCATAAATAATCACAAAGATTTGACTATAGTCGACAATATGATTATTCTATACGAAAGAAAATCAATTAACATGACGGAGTCAAAAAGACAAGAAAATGCTAACATGTGTATAGAAATTTCATTCAAATTTAATATTGATGAAACGAGAATAAAATATAACTAAATGAATGCTGTACACGGTAGCTACCTGGATGATATTTAAATTTTTACTAAATCTTGCATACTTCAGACAATATTTCATTTGACAATAAGTTGATCTTTTTATCTATGTTTTCATTAAGTTTATTTTATAAAGATATACTAATTACAATTTCTGATATCGACGTTACCTGGAAAATATATATTTTCATATTTTTGTTTTTGAAAAGTTTAACTACAATTTAAAGAAAGTTAGTTGAAGTAGTGTCTTTTTTTAAAAACAAGCTTGTACAACTCCTCCAAAGGACCGACAACAGAGTTTATTACGTCTCCGAGGTCACATAAAAGTGATGGTCATAATGGAAACATGTTCTGTGGTCATGTGATCGCTTGAAAGGAAACTCCAGAACAATCTGAGAAATTTATCGCGATTCATCTACGAATATCAGGTAATATATTAATAACTCGTCAAAACTTCCTAAATCGTTAATGATGAAAAAGGCAACGTGAAATCAGTTTTGTGGATTCTCATGTGTAAAATCGTTTAACAGGCACCGGTATGTAAGTACACGTATTAATGAGAAACATTTTTTTCCTTTAAAACATATCTATATTGATATTATTCCATGTCATGTTATTCGAAGCCAGGGGTATTTGGTATAACAATCGTAAACCCTTTCTTTACATACATCCTTATACATACATATTAGAACAATGAATGTGAAATGTTAAAATCTAAATAATTTAAAACAAAAACACTTTTACCTGGAGAATGTCAAAACTTATTGAAAAAATACTGGTTATTATCAGTTCATTAAAAGAAATGTTTCTTGCAATGATAATATGCATTTCCTTGCAACTTCGGGTAGATTTTCTTGGAACATCGGGTAGATTTCCTTGGAACATCGGGTAGATTTCCTTGGAACTTCGGGTAGATTTTCTTGGAACATCGGGTAGATTTCCTTGGAACTTCGGGTAGATTTGCAACTTCGGGTAGATTTTCTTGGAACATCGGGTAGATTTCCTTGGAACATCGGGCAGATTTCCTTGGAACTGCTGGTAGATTTTCTTGGAACTTCGGGTAGATTTCATTGCAACTTCGGGTAGATTTCCTTGGAACATCGGGTAGATTTCCTTGGAACATCGGGTAAATTTCCTTGGAACTTCGGGTAGATTTTCTTGGGACTTCGGGTAGATTTCCTTGCAACTTCGGGTAGATTTCCTTGGAACATCGGGTAGATTTTCTTGGAACATCGGGTAGATTTTCTTGGAACTTCGGGTAGATTTCCTTGGAACTTCGGGTAGATTTCCTTGGAACATCGGGTAGATTTCCTTGGAACATCGGGTAGATTTCCTTGGAACATCGGGTAGATTTTCTTGGAACATCGGGTAGATTTCCTTGGAACTTCGGGTAGATTTTCTTGATTCTCATGTTCCCCCATTCCCACTCACTCTTTCTACTTTCCTTTCCCTAGCTCTCTTAACGGCCTCGTAGAAATTTTGATTTAGCTCCATGAGTAATCTTAATTCATATTTTAGTTATACATCAATTGAATGTATTTTGAATGTTTAAGGTCGAGTTTCTGGTCCTTTCCGATGCAGACGGTACATATGTAACGATATATTCAGTAGGAATGGATTGAACTTGGAGCAAGTTCCCTATGACACAGGATGTGATGAACTTTTGCAACCAATGAATGATTGGTGTAGTAGTCAGTTTTAGTATGTGCCGTCTGTATCGGCCGGGTACACTAACAAGACACATATAGGCGTGTTTTCGATATCAAACGATCTCTCTCCCTTTCCTTAAAATCTATATTGTGTATATTACACATCTCAAACTTTTCCTTTTTCTCAATGTCATGTTGCTATTGTTAAATGTATTGTATTATTTTGGGAGAAACCATTAAGAAGTTAAATAGTTACACTTACTGACTCATCCATTTGTCATTATTTGCCAATAAAATATGTTTAAGCTAAAAACATTAAAATTCATAGTTATTTAAATTATGTGTACCCAGAAAATCCTATAAAGGTGAATAGTACTAGACTGCTATCTAGTAATAGAATTACAAAGATATCAATTAGAAATAAGAATTGTTCGCCAGAGAATGTGTCAGCATTATCGTAATCCAAAGCTACACTTACTGTAGTGATACTATCATTACAACCTTTCAATACCTATTGCTGTATAATTACTATGACAGATGAATCTACAAAGGAAAACGTGATTATATAATATTTCAATCACGATTACACACTTTGAATTATAACGTCAGACGTAATTACAAAACATAATCCAACTTTTCTAATTACAAATAATTACTATTTTTCTTTACAGAAATATTAATTATCTTTTTCCAAAATTCCAATCTTAATAACGAAATAAAAACACCGCAAGTTAATGACTGTTTTAATATACTTTTAATGTTCTACAATGATTTGGTAACCTGCTCTTTCGATTTTGCCCATCATATGAACTAAAATAGGACGTTGCTATGTTTACTGTGCCTCGTGTATAGATTATTTTATAGCGCAATGTTACTGAAATATTACATCTCCGGCATTTTGACAAGGTATCACTCCTGGTCAAAATGAGGTGCTTTGTTCGACGCTCCCTGCCTGATATGTGTTTCTCAGGAAGATAAAAAGGACCAGTCTGTGCTGACGTAACGTCCCTGGGAAAAGACACTTTTATCCGAATAGACCTTAATGGCATGCGATGTGTCTCCCGTATGTTTTTCAGTGAAACAGTCTTACGCTATCATACGGATACCCCGCCTCAAACTTACCTTCAAAGGACGGTGAACCCGGCAAACAAACAATAAAACAAAAAATATTCTATTTTATTTTAAATGCCTAAAAAGGACATATGGAAACAATGCGAAATCATAGTTAAACTACCTATATGTTTAAGAAACTTGAAAAAAAGCTGATATGGTTTGCACGTGCTTGGAAGTGACTTTATTTTGCTTTGACAACCATGTGCTGTACTATTGTGGATCAAAATGACCTCTATATACTGTATGTAGAGTACATCGAATATCATCACTTTTGGTAAATTTTAACGTTCCTGGTAATTTAGGAAAGGATTAGGAACAAAAGTAAAATCGACTTATTATCTATGTATTCATTCTGTATGAAATGCTACCGGACAGTAACATTAACATAGAATATAAACACTTGTGTGTAATCTAAACCCGTATTAGTATCTTAAACCAAATCACGATTAAATAACGATGGTCTTTAGCATATTTACAGCAGATTTAATCAAAGTACATATATATATAAAACATTAACAGAAAACATCCCCACTACGACAAAAATATAATAATTTAATTTCAGTGTGGCGGTATTTTCGATTTTCACCCCTGCAGTCCGACGACCTTAAGTGGAGGGCGCTAGGTTACATACTTGACTGGTCTCGGTTTTAAATCTACCCCGCTAAGATAATTAAATAGAGATACTTCAAAACCAGCATGGGGAGTGGTTTTGACATATGTAAAATAAAATATCGAGATTCTTCGACATTTCGAGGGTATTAAAGATATCACTTAATTGAATCGTGTGGCGAGGTGCGGAATCTTACAGTACAGGTGAGCGTCCTCCTGTGAGCTCCCCTAAATTCAAGATGGCGGAGATATAGAAAAAAATTATCAGAATTTGTTCTTTGTACAGATGGTGTATATGACCCTTCTTAAAATGGGAAAATTGTAGTAAAACTATTTAACAACATATTAAGTTTATCTCCGGTATTTAATGTTCAGTGATAATTCGCCGGTAAGGAGATCTGGTGAGGGTTTGACGAACTAGTTTCCTTGATAACACAAAATTTATTGTACGTTTTTATACCTGTGTAAAAATTGAGTTGGATAAAATCACTGATATGATATCACCAAGTTTATTTCATATAAATTATACATTTTGTCGAAAATGCAGCATATCTAACATTAAGGTAAGGGACCATCAGTTTAGACTATTTCTGTTGTTCAATGTTATATTCTTGAATCATCAAAAATATTTCCCCCAAAAAAGTCCTCATAAGTCTGGAAAGCAATTCAGTAAGGCGATTAATTTCAAATAGGTTTAAACAACTTTGACAAGTAAAATAACATGCGATAATTTCCAAAGAGACGTCACGTGATCTACATAAATCACGCGTTAAGTAACACCTAATGGCACTGTAAATATATTTTGGAAGAAACGAGTTTCATAAAATCTAAAATCGAATTATAGAAAACTGAGATAGTGTTTTTCCCCACAAAACTCTGATAAAGTTAGATTTGACAGAAGAAAATGTGGATGACATATCAAACAGATGCAGCCATTTTGTTGCGCCTTTGTTGTCATGTAATGACGTCATCGTCCATGTTGTTTATTTAGTTATGATTTATTAGTCATTTTTATTTATTTATTTATTTATTTATTTATTTTTGTTCTTTTTCGTTTTGATTTTGTGAATATTATGTTATTTGTTTACTTTTTTTGTTTGTTTATTTTTGTTGTTGTTTTATTTCAAACAATTCATCAAAGTTTCTCAACTATTTTTGTTATGTCTTAAAATCGCAATGTGCATGTTTAACCGAAATAAGTTAATGAATTGAATTCCATTTGGGGAAGCCCTTTCTTTACGGAATTTCCAATAAATTGTACAACTCACATAGAATTAATTTCTGTTGGGTTTAAAGCGTGATGATTGACATGTAACTCTCAGGTTGACGATTCACCTCCGGTCACGTGATTTCGCCTACGATACTTTTCATGTTGTGTAACAAGACGTTGTAATAAGCTGGAAGTCATTCATAAAAAAAACATCTCGATTTTAGGATTTCAAATTCAGTTCCAAATCAATACGTTGTTTTAAAATCACTTTTCATATGTTTACGTTTTCTTATTCCGTTTCAAGAAAGTTGTTTGACCTCCCGAACAAATGACTTGAAACCGAACTTACTGATATGGAAAATGTTGCCATCACTGTACAAGTTATTAAGATCATTGTTCTGGTCATCAGACAGTTGTCATCAGTCACACCAAACCCGCTTGTTGTTTATGCAGCGTCTTAAAACACATTTAAACATCATATATTACTAGAGCAGCTGTCACACTCATATGCAGAGAGAATTTAGCTCGTCAAAGATCCCCAGTATCAGAAACAAATCAGTAATTTCTTAACTGTAAGCCTCCCTAATCTAATCGTGCTACAGTACATTGCTATGATACATTCATTTAATTCAAAAATCTAAAACCACTTTAGCCAGATTGCTAAAACCAATATTCTTATCACTGTAATGAATTCTAAACATTCCCAGGTTCCTTAATGTAATAATCAAGTCGATAAAGAAATACACATTAAAACCTGAACAAAACTACACACACACACATGTATATATATATACTAGGTTTAAATCTCCGAGTAAAATAAAACTGAATATTTCTGATAAATAACAAGAATAGTAACTACAAAATTTGGACTTCAATTTCCTTTATCTGGCCAAAATATGATAAAAATATCAAAATCATCTACTTTATCTAGGTATAAAATACACCGTGGCGCCCGCCTTGCAGTTTCCTGTAGCGCACAACAAGATCCCGCTGTGACCACGGCGATATTCGAGGTGAAAATGAGCTTCGGAGATAAAAAAGGGTTTATCAAGTCGAATCTCTATCAAAGCCAGAGATGGCCTTCCATTATTTACATCTTAATCTACAAACATTTGTTCAGCAGTAAGTACGATCTATAAATGTCCCAAGAGTGAGGAAAAGTCTTAAATCACCCGCCATTAAACTACCTGAATGACAGTTATGGCAGGTATAAATTTCGAAATCGGAGCAAAAGAAACGGATATTATATTTTTTGTCAAACATAGCTATCTGAAGGGACATTTCCTGAAATTGTACAGTTATATTTTTAATGTGTGAAGATCAGCTCATGGCGTTCTGCAGTCTTTCTATTTGGTTTAAATATCTCATAAAGTCAGGAAGTGTATAACACAATATCACGTTTGCGATGTTCATCGCTCTGTTATGAAAATTAACTCACACAAACCACTATATCTTATGTCAGTTTACAGTCAGCTGTTCCGGAATCGTAATGATTTAAGATATACCATAATATGTTATAAGAGATTTTTTAAATGTTATCATTAAATGCTAAATATGTATACAAGGCAATAAAAAAAAAGATTATCAAGAAATAATTTAAATGTTTAAATTGCCTTAACAAACCATGTCACGGGTGTTAATGGAATATAGTTCCTCGGCTGTATTTTATTCTGTTTTGTTTTGTGGGTTTTATTTTGTTTATTATTGTTATTATTTTTTATGTTATTTTTTATTGTTTTTGTTTTTTTATGGACAGCGTCGTTGAACAGAAAAACACTTTGATTTTGCAGTGTCGGACTGACAGGAGTACTTTAAGATATGTTTGATACT